CGTAAGTAGGATACACACACACCACACACAAAAAAAATATATAATTATGTATATATATGCACCATACACACACACACACACAACACCACACAGCACACACACACACACACACACACACACAACACACACACACACACATATATATTATTATATATATATATATAATATATTATATTATTATATATATATTGTGTGTGTGTGTGTGTGTGTGTGTGTGTGTGTGTGTGTGTGTGTGTGTGTGTATGCTATATATACATATATATATATATATATATTAATATATTATTAATATATTATATATATATATATTGTGTAGGTGGGGTGGGCGTTGTGTGTGTGTATCCTATCACGCGTGAACATACTGACAGACACAAGTTTAGTACCTGTATACGTACTGTGATTCCTCATCAGTCTATGTAATTCCTAACGGAGATCTATACTACTTAATAAAAACCGTTCTTTCAATATGGGGGCTACGTGAGCGTGTGCGTTCGCGTGCGTGAGATATCATCTATAATTGACCCGTTCGTGATGATAAAATGAACCATAAAATGATGAATATTACACCATTTATAAATATCTCCCCTTGTTTATTTTAAGCTCTTCAAACCAACACTTCGCCGTGCATATTATGTAGTCTCACGTGAGTCAATGTTATCAGAAAGACATTTAAATTCTTATTGTATTGAAGTGACAAATTGAATTGATTTAATATGCTTTTCATTATAGTGTATGCAATATGTGTATATATCAATATATATTTATATATATATTATATATATATATATATGGGTACACACATCACACACACACCACACACCACACACCCACATACATATATATATATATATATATATATATATATTATTATATATATTTATAGTATAATATATATATATATATATATATATATATATATATATATATATATATATATATAATTTCAAACCACAAAAAGATATTGATTTCCATGGTGTGTCTGAACGGACATATGGATGCTATGTAATGAAGGATAGTCTATGTATTCTCTAGATTTATTTACTGAAATATTGATTTATGTGTTCTGCTCAATAGCCATTGTGATTTTTTCATGTATTGAGTGAACGTCCTATCCTTAACTAAAAGTCATATAATCAGCAATACTTGCGAAAATGCATATAAGCCCCTAATATCCAAGAAAAGGGAGAAATATATACGAGACGAAGAGTAGCCATAAAGATATGTGAATATTGCATAATTAAAGTAAGCGCGCAGCCCCTGCAGATGTCACGTGACCTGACGTCACACTGCGGGGGAGAGCCAGTTTGTTTACATGCAGCTCTCCCATCTTGGACAGGTGAGTGTCCTCCTCACAAATCCGTCTCTGGCACCTCCCACACGCGACGCCGGTCCGAGGAGAGTGTGGAAATGTGTGTTTGATTGTACCGTTTGTGATATCGTGTGCGAAACAAGCGCGAGAGGTGAAAAGGAAAAGGTGAAATGATCGTGTGAAGGTTGAGGGGTTGTGGCTGGGCGAGCGAGGTCGGGTTTTGCTATTTTTGCCCAGATGGTTTTTAAAAGGCGAGTTGGGTTGGGTTTTTAGGGTGCACGCGGGACGGGTCTTGTCTGGTGGCTGGCTGTGGACTGGAATATCTGTTTTTTGCTGTTAATGAAGGAGAATTGTCGAGCGGCTTATTGCGCTCAGAGGTAAAAGGACCGGAATTTGACATTTCTCCGATCTGTCGTGTGAAAATTCGCCCCCCTTCAGTTTTTGCAAAGTTTACCGTGTTGATGTGACGTGTTGTGTTCATTCATTGAAATTCATACAAAGTGATATTCCATGGAAGAAAGGTTACAGTGATTTTGTGGGATTCTCTTCTGAAAGAAAGTTCTTAAATGTTTTTTTTCAAGATGACATAAAAGTGCAAGTGTATTTATTTTACTGAACTTTGTCCAAGGTAGGACTTTGTATGTTACGAGTAGATTTTGTTCAGTTTATGTCATTCATTGAACACAATGAGGTTGAATTTTTAGAATTTAGTAGCACAAAGATTTTACACTCTGGAATTAGTTATTTTCTTAGTCCACTCTTCTGCAGTATTTTGTTGTAAGGACTGAAAAGTTTACCCATTCCAAGAAACATTTTTTTTTTTTCATGTTAGAATGATGCATTAGCCTGCTACAGTGCACAAAGTTAAGATTTATTACTTGTTATGGGTTAGAGGTAGAGGCTATCGTTAAGAGTACAGATTTCAAATAACAATTCCTGTTGAGGAGGAAAAGGCCGAATGGGTGTTCTGCGCTGTTTTTCGTAGAATATCAAAGATGCCTGTGAAATGAAAATGGACTGAGGTATAAACTGCACATTCCCTTTTAACTTTGCAATTGTTATTCAGTGCAGAATGAAAGATAAATATTTAGAACAGGGCTAAGGAAAGGAGAAAACTAAGGTATTGGTCAAACATAATGTTTAAAACAACAACGTAAAGATAAGTACAGAATTACTCATGAAAATCAGCAA